TTTTAAAGAATGACTGCATGAAGCAATTTCTCGCCTTCTGATTTCAGAAAAGTTTCTTTTTTACTTATTTTTACTTAAATTACTTTGCTTGCAATATCTGTTAAGGGAGAACTGTTATACAATGAAAATTTAGAAAACAATCAGAATTTGAATGATAAATTAAATTATTTAAATATTAATAGGATTGGAAAAATAAATTGTATTTATTTTTAGGTGCCAAGCTAACATAATAAATATGGCTTATTATTATATATTATCTCTATTTTAAACTTAAATTCCATCACTAAATCTTGTAATATAATTTAGTTCTGGATAGTTTTTTCCCCCTCTCATTGTAAACTAGTTCTGTAAATTGAACTGTTATTTAAAATTTAAAAAAATAATGTAATTGTTTTCCATGGTTGAGTAATTCTCATTCTCTCATAATAAATATTGAATTCCTCATATTTTAAATTGCAATTCTAGTTTTTCTTTTAAGGTTATGCAGTTGTGTATATGTAATTAGACAGGTACTTATTTTTTTTTTCTTAAAATGTGCTTGAAAAGTGCTTATTTTTTTAACTAAAATGTGGCTACGAACCCTGTGTGAGATGGTGGACAGTATGATGGGAGATATAGACGTGGCTGTAGTGCGTTGAATAGTCAACAATGATACTGTTGTGGCAGTTCGGACTTGACGAACAAACATCTTACCTCGCATTTGTGATGCTTGGCCTTGCAGAGCCTTCATTTGTCTGCAGTTTCCTTGTAGCAACCATTGCTGCCAACATCTTTGCACAGCAGTGTCTCTACGTTGCAGGTGGCAACCTGTTGCTCGGTATGACCACCCAGCTTCACGCAATCCTACAATGCGACCATGTTCGAAGTCATTTAGTTGTCTGTAAGGTCTTCGATATCATCGTAATGGCATCTTTTGTTGCTTCTTTACGGAATTACAATGGCAGCAACAAAAAAAGATAAATGTTTCATTACTGGCTTTATACTTCGCGAATTGACACTAGAAATGCACACTATGATCGCAATTCCTGTTCATTTGCATATGTTTGATCAAGATGTTTTTGCATACCAAATTTCGTCACGATCGAAAAAGGTCTTCTTGGTGCTTTGATTTTTATGCAAAAGAGTGTATTAACAGATAAAAGTCAACAGCAGAGGTATTATTATTATGTTTTAAGTTGCCATTTTTCTTTCACATCATGTCTCTTCTTAATCAAAGCATGCACTCACCTTCAGTCCCATCATCTTCTTGTCTCGCACTGTCAGTCTAGTCATGTTGTGCTGTCACACTGCTTATTCTTATATATATATATAATCATTCATTTACTTAAAGGAAAAAGAAAAATAAGTCTATTAGTTTTTTTACTTCACACATAGTGTAAAATATAACATGAACTGCTGTTAATTAGTTTTATAAAAGTGTACATTTTTTAAGTACTTGAAAAAAGGCAAGAAAGAATTTTTATCACTTTATGCATAACATAAAAACTAATAATTGTATTTGTTTAATTAATTAATTAATATACAAATTGTGTTTTAAGTATAATAATATAGCATAAAATGAATATATGTTGCATATAAAAACTTAATAAGTTTTGTATATTAACAGAATTTTGTTAATTATAAAAACAATAAAGCATTTGTTTTCAGCAGCAAAATCAGAAAATACCTCGGCTGGGTTTTAACTCATAACCTGATTGTTCATGCACATTTTAAATAAGCAATCAAACTAGATTGACCCAAGTTAAAAAATCATTAACAGTAGAAAATGAGAACTAATGCAAGCAAAAATGCATCAGGCATTTCTTTGTTTGAAGAGTTCTCAGAACATTAGAGTATGATAGATACCCTTAAGCAGGAAAAAATTCTGGCAGATTTAGTTAATGCTGACAAATGAGGTGAAAAAAAAAAATCACTTTATGGCTTCCAGTAACAGATCTCTTAATTTTACTGGAAGCCATAAAGTCAAAAAAAAAAAAAAAATCTGTCAATTATGTAGAAATTTGTCATAATTATGATCCAAAATAAATATTGCATCACAAATTAAATTTGTTAAAGTAATAATAATAATTAAAAAAACATGAAACAATTTGTAAGGTATGCTATTTAGTAAACAGATTGTTGATTCAGTAGCCATCATAATTTTTCAGACACGTGATTTCCATATGCAATTTCATTGGCAGTTGCCATAATTGTTTCTGGTAACAGTGCATCTCATCATATTCAATGATCATGGATCTTTTTGCAGGCAACAAAGACATTTATCTTGTGCTGGCTATATGTTTCCTTATGTAGATGAGCTGGTGCAAGCACCACAGGTGTTGAGCAATACTTGTTTAGATATATGCCTCCATGTAAACAGAGCTTTATGAATATGTTGAACTTTGTTATTAAGTATTTGGATTGAAATCTCTTCAAAAGGAAAAAAACATTGACAAAAATGTCAAGAATAATAGAAGAAATATTTAAGTAAGAGGCAATAGAATAAAAAATCTTTAAAAGATTAATATGTGTAAAATGAGTTAAGTTGGAAAAATAATTAAATTTTGAATAAATATATGGTCCAATCACGAGAAGTGCATGTGGCGCAACTTTGCACTCAAGAAAATCATTTTATTGTGGAAGAAAATCATTTTATTGTTATTAATCATTTATTGTTAACTCAAGTCACAGCTTGAGTTTTCTGTATAGTTTACTAGTTACTTCCTTGTACGAAGTAAAAAGGAAGTATTGTAATCGCGAAAAGTTTCAGGCAGCATATTTCAACGCAAATATCCATTTTGACCTCTATTGAATGCAATTTAACGATGTTTTTGCGTGACATATGTACGTAAAGACAGAATAAAAGACTCTTTTCCTCCAAAAAAATTATAAAACTGCATTAAAATGAATTCTGAAGAGAATTTTTCGTGGCGTCTGTGTGAACGTATGTACGTACGTATGTATCTCACATAACTCAAGAACGAGTAGCCACAGAACGTTGAAATTTTGTATATAGGACTGCTATAACATGTAGATGTGCACCTCTTATTTTGGTTGCAATCGGCCACACCAAAGGTATATAAATATATTTTTATATATATCCACTCTGTTACCCGGCTCAGTGATCTCAGTTTCTTTACTCTTATATGTTTGTAAATTGTGCATTTTTTGCTTTAAAAATGATTGAATTATGCTGTTCTTATCTTCCGATTAAGGTTTTTATGCCTTTAAATCTGCAAGCAATATTTGTACAATTATCAACAATTTAAAAGCTGTTTAAGTGTGGTTAAGCCTTAAGTTTTTAACAACATGGCGGACATATTTGTTTACATTTGAAACAGCAGAATAGTAGATTTGTTGCCAATCTAGAGAGACTAAGCTTCGCAACAACAAAGATAACGCCTTCATTTATTATTGCAAATTAAATCATGCGTAATCCTTTCTGGAATTTTTTCAAGGAAATAAATGTTTAAGATTTACTTTGTAATTTTTAATACAGATATTTTGAGTTTTTATGTATTTTTGCCTTGTCACAAAATGAGAACTGAATTAATTGAATGAGAAATACTAAATCATCTGTGAAAAACTTTTTTTTTTTGTTTTGCTTGATTTCTTTTATACATCGTTCTAGATATATTAGAGTATTTGAACAGATTATGGTGCAATGATTAGATAATTCTTCAAATGATATAATTTTTTTGCATTCTGAGTTATAATATGAACAAAATATAACGTTGTTAAGTGAACCTAGTGCCAGAATGTCTCTATGGTAAACAAATATAGTGAATTTTAAGGAGTGGATTTATTCTATTGTGGTTTGTGCACTCTCAACAAAGTAGATTTAATTCAATCCAATAAGTTTAAACGAAATGCAAGAAAAAATGAGTATAATTTAATATTCTGTACAAGGATGTCATGTGGTGTACACATCAGTTTTTTTTTTTTTTTTTAATTCAGCTTTCAGAATGTGTCTTCTTATAGTACATGATGAAGAACTTGCGCATCATAATCATCTCATGTCCATTTTAATTTGTAGATGGCAATCTGTGATTTTTCAAACTCATTCCTACATGTTTCTTGTATTTTGATTCAGAAGATTACTCCTACATTTGTGTAAGCATTTGAGCAACACATTTTTATTTTATTTTATTTTTTGGTTGGGAGGGGGAAGGACAGCACAAAATGAAATGAAATTTTTAATTTTTTAACAGTATTCTTTTATTTTAAAACCAGTATTTTTCAGTACTACCTCAATTTGTCATCTTGATTTCTCATTCAAATTAGCCTTTTTACTCATTTGAGTCATTAAATAAATTTAGTAAAATAATAGCACAAAAAAGTGATCTGAAGATTAAAACAAACCTTAAAATGAGTAAATAAAATTAATTAAATCAAAATGTTAAATTTATTATGTTAGTGAAGTAATGAAATACTGTTTATCATTAAAATAAAGTCAGTGTTTCTAAAAGGAGAAAATGTTAAATTTTTTTTAAAAGCAAGTAATTAGAAACATGAGGTCATTTATGTTTGTTAAAGTAGGTGTAACAAGTTTAATTAATTTAAAACTTTTTTTGCTGAAGTAGAATGCAAATGAGGAAACGTCAGTAAGTTATGCAGACTATGATGGGGGGGAGAGAACCACAACAAACACTTAAAATCTTTTGCACAAGATTTATATATTTTTTCTTACAATAATAAATGAGACAAATTGGGCTTACTTAATATTTTTTGTTATGTTATTGTACTTTGTAGTTGAAGGCATAAAATTAAGTTACTCGTACTTAATTTGATAACTAGTTCATCATGCTTAATCAGGAAAATTGTTCAGTTTAGTCATAGAATATCAGGAAAATTAAAACTCAAATTTCAGTTGGAATCTTGTCAAGTGATTGTTTTCATTCTGTTATATAATGTAATAAAAAGGGGGAAATATTGCACTTCAGTGTACTAGATTTAATAAATTGCATAGAACATTTTAAATCACCAAGTAACGGTTAAAAAGCTATTTTAATCTTTTACAGATTTATTCTAAGGATGTAGTATCTCCTGAGGAATTATGTCCTCTTTTTTTAGGTGAGGTTTTTTTTCATTATGTTTAAAAGTTACTTTTTTTGTATGTTTTTGTAGTTTATTTTAATCCCCCTTTTTTAAGTAAAAATGCCTTTATTTATTTGCTTCACTTTTAAAGGTTTCTCCATTTCTTTCAGTTGTGGAATGTCCTTCAGAAGAATTTCTGGATCCTTTTGTCGGTGAAGAAAAATTTAGATGCTACCAGTCAAATGACTCTGAGTCATCTGAAACAGCAGCATTGGTTGTACACTTCACACCACCTCATGTTTTAAAATGCTTAAAATATCAGCAATGGATGAAGAGGTAGCTAACTGGTTTTTGTTGAATTAGCAACTTAAAACTGTTGTTAGAAAAATTGGTTAGTTATTAAAATTTTAAGGAAATTAAATTCAAAAGCTATTTTTTGTAATTTTTTTTTTAATAGCCATGAAGATTTTATGAATTTATCTTTACTTACTTAGGGATTTCATCCATTCTAAACAACATCACTACTTCATACTACTAACACTTTTATGAACTTAATATCTGGAGGTAGTATAATTAAAAGAAACCTCAGATAAAGTAGTTGGAAAATTAAGCATTTTTTATTTTAATAAAAATCACTTTTTTCTTCCATTCTCAAATTAAACTTTTTATTTTAAAAACCAAAATAACAGCTTATAGTTTCATTTTCACTAATTTTTGTTCTGTATTGTATTTTCATTCTAGAAAACTAATTTACATGTTCTGATTTATAATAAAATTAGCATGCAGTATATGTAAGTTTCACATGCTGAAAAGTTAAAATAGTGATCAAGTTCATTTTCCTCCAAAACGTCTTTGGTACAATCATGCAAATCTTAATGATCATTCATTTCCTTTAGTAGGATAAAAATTAAATGCTAAAGAATTGAATGTTATATAACAAAATTCCAGAAATTTTTAACTACATATAATAATTAGTGCAAAATAAATAAAACTGGTCTTGTGCAATTCCTCTTTGGAGAATCTGCCATTATATTCAAGTCACATCTAAAATTTTTAGTTGCTTATGAATATTTATCTATAAATACTCTTTGTTCAGCAGTACTAAGTAAGAATGACAGCATGTATTCAGGATTTCTACTTTAATTTATTATAGTATTAGGTTGTCAGGAAAGTTTGTGCATATTTTGAAGGAATATTGAAATGTAGGAGATTTAAATTTTAGTGCATATTTATTAAATTGTATGGGTGCCATTCTGTTCTACAACCTTTCTCCATCTTTCATGCAAATTGAAAATTCTGTCCTTCCAGAATCTCTCGGGTTTTTCAACAAAAAACTTTTCTATGTGATATTTTAGCTCAACCAAAGAATTAAGTTTTTCTCATTAAAGAAATTGTGTAGTGATCAAAATAGTTGGAAATCGGGAGGTACAAGGTCTGATGAACATGGGGATGGGGTAGAACATCCTAACTGAGCTCCAACAGCTTTTTTCGAGCTATCAGACACATGAGGCCCTGCATTGTATTGATGAAACAAGCCACCCTTCTGATTCGCTTTTTCTGTTTGTTTTTGTACAATTGCTCTCTTTAATTCATCTGAGTGGGAACAATAATTCTGTGAATTTATCGTCTCATTGTTTGGTAAAAGCTCATAATACACAATCCCTTTCCAGTCCTGCCAAATACAAAGCATGACCTTCTTTGGATGAAGTCTGGCTTTTGGGGTGGCATTCCACTTTCTCCAAAATCTTTTTCACTATTATAAATAATCCATTTTTCATCCCCCGTCATTACTTCCTTCAAAAATAATGTCTCCTCATTGTGTTTATGGATGGTGGATTTTGGTATATTTAACATTTCTGCTAATGTACATGTTGTATAGCATGGTTATTCTCAAATGTTTTAATTTGATCTTCATCTGTGGGCCTACTCAGGTGTTCTTGAGTTAAAATCACCAACTTTGCACAGTTCTCTCAGCTACAGCACTTTTGCCATAAACAGTGCATGTCTTGTTTGCTGCTTGTGTAGCATTTTGACCTTTTCCGGTAAAAGAAAATCATTAAATGTCTAACCTGGAATTTGCTGTCTTCTGTATTGAAAGGCATATAAAACTGACAAAAATTATCATAGCCAATTTTTTTTTATAAATATGCCTAAGTACCATCTTTTACAATATGTACATATGTCCTTTGTTTTAGATTATTTTGATATACAGTAAGACCCCACTTAATGCTGTTTCGGTTTAGCGCTCTTTTATTTCAACCCGGGGATTCCCCGAAATTGTGCGCAGCACTAGGTTTCAAAATAACATGCAAAACAGTGTAGTTGTATCTCTTGTTTGGTGCGGTGCTGTACGGACGCATTTTAAACATTTGTTGACATTATTGTAAGTATAAATTTATATAATACTATAACGATTAATACAGTGACAAATATTATTATCTTTAGTTTTTATCATGGGTGATAATAAAAAACAAGAAAAGAAAGCAACCAGAAAAAGCATTTCACTGGAAACTAAAATGCAAGTGATTAGAAGATTAGATTCTGGTGAACGTCAATCTCAAATTAGTGCTGCATTGAATTTGGCAACTTCAACAATAGGGACAATTCTTAAGAATAAAGACTGTCAACGGCAACTGCAACTAGAATTACCCATTCTAGAAATAACGTTATAAAGGAAATGGAAAAACGACGGTCTATATGGATTGACGACGAAATTGAATGCAATATGCCGTTAAGCCAATCTGTCATAATGCCTTCTTGACAAAAAGGCAGAAAATTGGAAGCACAGAATAGACTGAATGAGAATTTTATTTGTTTTTATAAATATATTCGTTTATATTGTTCTTATTTTTGTAAGAAATAAATGTTTGGTTTTATTTTTATTAAAAAAAATTATTAAATTTAATACCTAACCAATTTTCTATCAATCTTCCCCTAACCCCATTATTTACATGTTAAGATAGCTTCGTTTAGAGCTGTTTCGCATTACGCTCTACTTTGACGGAACTTATCCCTTGCGTTAAGTGGGCCCTTGCTGTATTCAAACCTGTCCTTATGTCAGCTTCCAAAAATCGGCAGAATCTTTCTGGACAATCCAATATAAATAAAATAACATTTGGCATATATTTCTAAAAATTCCAAAATTATGTTTAGCAGATATCTCTAAACAACATCGTCCTAAATGGAAGAAAAGAGCTGGAATGAGCACTTTAGTAACTTGGTGAATGACCATACGTGGGATGGGTCTTCAACCTACCAAACTACCTCTGTAAACATCGATAGTATCCCACCACCATCTTTGGCAGAAGTTAGAGAAGGAATTAAAAAGGTCAAAAATAACAAGGCCCCAGGACCTGACTCAATTACTTCAAAACGTATTAAAAGTGCTGCAGGTCAGAACATTTAGGAAATACACAATTTCATCAAATCAGTTTGGAACCAAGGAGTTTTACCCGAGGATTGGAAACTGAGCGTCATCTGTCCTATACACAAAAAAGGAGACATTTTGGAATGTACCAACTATAGGGGAATCAGTCTCCTTTGTGTTTTTTTACAAACTATTTTCCAATATATTTTTTAGTAGATTAGTAACTTATACAGAAAATATTGTAGGTGATTACCAATGTGGTTTCCACAAAGTAATATCTACAGCAGAACAAATCTTTAACATTAAGCAAATTTTGGAAAAAACTAATGAAAATGGCATTGCAACACACCACCTTTTTGTTGATTTTAAGACTGCCTACGATTCAATAAACAGAAAATATTTAATTGAATCTATGAAAGAATTTGCAATACCTGAAAAACTATAAATTTGGTCACCATTACTCTTACTGAGACAAAACTTAGGATTAAAATCCAGAATAATCTTTCTGAGCCTATTGTTGTTTTAAATGGGCTCAGACAGGGTGATGCATTGGCCTGCTTGCTTTTTAACCTTTTCCTCCAAAAAATCATAAAAGACTCTAACATTAATACTTGTGGAACTATCTTTAACAAGTATGTTCAGGTTTTTATGCTTGCTGACAATATCAGCATAGTCGCACGCACTCCTGAGTCACTTAGAGAGGCTTTTACATCTTTAGAGGTTGCAGCCAACAAAATGCTTACAAATCAACCAAGATAAAACTAAATACATCATATGTGGTAATAACAGCAGCCCCGATTTTGAAATTGGGAATTACAAATTTGAAACTGTTAGCAAATTTAAATATTTAGGATCAGAAGTTAATACTCGCAATGATTTAATGCCTGAGACCCATAGTAGAGACACAGATGCTAATCGATGTTTTTTCGGTCTAAAAAAATGCTTGAAGTCTAACTTTATTAGCAGAAAAATGAAGATTTTAATTTACAAAAGCTTAATCAGGCTCATTCTTACATACTCTAGTAAGACCTGGGCAATGACAGAGAAAGCTAAAAGTATCATTTCTGTCTTTGAAGGAAAAATATTTTGAGAAGTATTTTTTGTTGCATAAAATGTAACAATATTTGGAGAAGAACTAACTCTGAATTCTATAAATCCTTTAAAGAAATAGATATAGTAAAATATATAATGAGGATTCAGAAAATTAAGTGGGCAGGACACTGTGCAGAATGGATGAAAATCGAGTAACTAAAAAGATCTTCTCGGCCAGACCATTCGGCACCCGAAAGAGGGAGATCTAAACTTAGGTGGCTCGACTGTTTGGAAACAGACTTAAGAATTTTAAAAATAACCAATTGGATGTCCATGGCCAGGGATAGTACTTTTAGTAGTAGGAATTCGATTCTGAGGAAGAAAAGGGCCATCCTGGGCTGTCTGGCCATTGAAAAAGAAGAAGATATCTCTAAAAAATTTATAAATATTGCAGGTTTGCAAGTGGAGTGAAAGTATTATACAGTTTGTGTAAGGGAGATAAAATATGCCCTCAAGGTTAATAAATTGACATAATCTTCATTCTTAAATGAAAATTTTGGTTTCTTCCCTCTTAGTTTGAAGCTCATGAATAATAAAGTAAGGGAGCATTGATAGTTTTGTTTTGTTTGATTGAGTTCTTTGAATGAATTGAATACATTGCATAATATGTATCTTAGTGGTTTTCTATTTGTACTATTATATAAATCCCAGCAATTTCATTTAAAAAGACCTATATGAAGGCTTACTTTCTTCAGCCAATAACCCATGAATGCGTTATCTAAAATCTTTGTATCAGTCTTTGGAACTATTATGTTTGCTACTGTTCAGCTGTTAATGCTTGATCTTTCATACTGGTAATGATTGTAAAAAAATATTTGTCCTTTCTTAAAAATCTTTTTTATGTGTTCATATTGTTGTGAAAAGGCAAGCTGTGGTGAGATAGCTTCTGGATAAAGTGGGGTTAGGGTTGCCAGAAAGTGGCAGGGAAAGATAAGGTTGCCAGATTTGGCATGAAATGGTCCATTTGGCAATATTTGGTGCCAGAATTGCCTATGTGCCATAGATATAGTGAGAATATTCTA